ATCATTGAAATTAGATTTTAAAAAGAATCAGATGCTACAGAATATATTTATAAAAATATTTTTGATTTGATGATTTATTTAAAAAATTCAGTTTAAATCAATTATTTTTTTTAAAAAATCAAGTAAATTAAACTTTGATTTTAATTATGGTTTGAATCATACCGACTCTGATTCCTAGGCATTTTAATTTGCTGCAACAAGACAGGTTTTCTAGTGTTACCTGTTGATTGTTTTTGACAAATATACTTCTGAAATAATCTTCTTCTACTCCAAAAAACTGCCATTATGTGCATTCATACACTGAGATCTATAAAACTCTATAACTTGGCAAACTAAGTCAATGTTGCACATTTAATGTCGTTTATTTGAAAAAAAGTTAGATTTCTCGGAGAAATCTTAATTTTTTTAAAATAATGTCATTCAGAACTTTCCCCTAATAAGCTCATCAATTATTAACTTTATAGCAAAAAAATATTCAGCAGATATTTATGAAGAATTCTATGCATAAAAAACACAAGATCATTTTAAGAAACAGTAATCTTTTCTACTTCAAAAAACTTTCTCTCATACATAGGATTTTCACTGGTATAATGAGCAATGAAATAAATAGCAAAATGAGAAATGAATAGTAATTAAAAATGTTGGGTTGTTTGCTTATCATAAGTTGAGTATTATAAAAATAATTATATCACACAGGAAGGAAAAAGGAAAATGACTGCAGGAAACATATAAGTTATAATAAAACCCAAAAGAGTTATTAACAAACTAAAAATTACAAATGTTAAAAATTTGACTAGATAGTATTTGACTACTAAAGCTTAAAATAAGAAATAAGCATAAGAAAATAGGAATTAAATTTATGGCGCTATGAAACTTTTTGAAACACAAATATACACATTCAGAAGATATGCATCAGTTTTCTTCATGTTATGTATTTACACAATATTCTACATGGTCACATTAACATAAAACATTTTAAAGTAGTATGAGATAAGAAAAAGAAACTCATTTGGATCCTCCTGTCAGCAAAAATTTTATTTAGAATGTAGACAATTTTAAAATTGCTTTTAATGGGAATATGAAACAAAATAGTTGCTTTTTTCGGAAATGTGCTTTGCAAAAATGAAAATTTGATAAATTGTAAATAACATAGAAAATATAAAACTTTAACATTGTAATAAACTAGGAATCTTACATTTAATCCATTTTAAGCATTTGAAATTTGTGAATATGCTATGATATTATTGATCTTACTCAAAATAAAAATTTTAAACATTAAAAAAATATGACAGTTTTAGATTCAATTTGTATAAAACTTTGATAGTTGTACTGTGTTAAATGAATCAATGTTATGTAACTAAACTAATAATTTAAATGATAAAAACCATGGCTGACATGAAAATTTAAGAGAAATTAGGAAGAAAAGTATTGAAGTGCCGCAGTTTCATAGAACCAGAACCATATTTACAGGAAGAAGGTTAACTCCAAGAGATGAGATTCAGTGGGAATGTTGCAAACAGTTCTTAAAATGTCCTTAGTTTGAAACTGTTATTTCAAAACAAATAAATTGGGTATTTGAACAAATGAAATAGCATAAATTGAGCAAAATAAAAAAGTAATCCAGAAAATTTTATGGCAATAAAACATTTTAATTAAAAAAATTTGTAAGCAAATGTTTCAATTTAACTTTAGATTAAATTGTGGCATTTTCTAGGGAAAAAAATTAAACACTTCATTTTGACCAATTAGAAATGTATAAACACAAATATTTTTTAGAATAACAAATCTAAAAAAAACTGACATTCAATTATTTCAGTAGTAGTTTTTTTTATATGACAATAACTTAACATTTGATGGGTTTTTTCTACATTTAGAAAGTGTCTGTTTTTTAAGCTTGCATCAACTGAAATCAGGTGAACAAAACAAGATATTGTAAATTGAGTTAAATGCTGTTATATAAAATTAGATAAAAAAAATAATTAATTTATGTTACTTAGCTATATATTTTGTATAATTAAAAGTTTATTATTTTGATTTTTGCCTAACAATTTAAAATAAAATATTCTAAATTCTTAAAAACAGATTTTACTATTATATAACTTTAAAATGGAGGGAAAAAAGAAAACAAAAGCATTTTCTAATTATATTTATAAGTTCTAAAAGTTAATAATGAGTGAAAATTTAATTTTTTTTGAAATACACTTTGAAAAACGATTTTCTTATAATTTCACATCATATTCAAAACAAAGTTTCGAAAAATGCTCCTTTCATTTGTAGGTAAAATGTTAAACAGAATAATAGCTATAAGAAATTCTACAATGGGTAAACTTATCTACAATAATTATTTATAATACAAGGAATATTTCTGAAAGTTTAATAAATAGTAGTTTTAGATAAGGGATTTAAATTAGATAAAAATGTGACTTAAAAAGAACCTCAATATAAAAAATATACCTTTAAAAATGTAAAATTTAATTTGATTTTCAACGTATATTTTTAAGTAAAAAAGATTTGACTAGATTTTTTAACTAATTTTACTTTCCCAGATGATGTTTTTTAAAAAGAAGTTAAAGGCAAAAAAAGGTTCTTGTATTAAAAAAATTGAATAAAATATGGTTATTTAAAATTTTGACTTTTAAACTTAATTGTAACTTTGCATTAAAAAAAGTAAAAAACAATTCTTATTAAGCATTAAATGATACTACCAGATTTAGCAAACTAACATAAGATAAAAGACTCAATCTCTTAATTTACATTATAAAAATAATTTTAACAAAATATTTATAACAATTAAAAATAGCAAACAATTTTTCAAACTTCATAAAAAAGAAACAACAAGAGATCACAATTTGTTTGTTTTCACAATATAAAAAAGTATAACACATACTTTAAAGTACACATTTTAAAGAAGAATAAAAAAAATTGCCTATAGAGTAAAATTCGACGATATTTGATCAAATAAAAGATAAAACAAGTATGAATACTAATTAAAAATAAAATAATTCTTGCAAAAATGAAACGAATAAAAAATGTGAATAAATTTGAGTGACCTAAGAGTTTCTAGCTATACAGGAAAATTTAGGCAAGTATAACATATATTAACAAACTGCATTTAGATAAGCAAGATCATATAAATTCTGCAGAGCAAGCATCCTTGTTTTACCCCCCCCCCAAAAAAAAAACTCATTATGTCCATCGCAGTACTCAATATTGTAAAGGCATGGTTTTAAGTTTTATTTATCATAATAACATGGGATGCTAAAATCATATTAAGTAAATGAAAAACAGAAAATTAGACTAGAATTTATTAACCTAAAATAAATATGACTGAATTTTACTTTTGTAGCTATTTTTTTCTAATATATATTTGTATCACATTTTGTATTCAGATAAAGATATTATTTGTCTATTTTGTACAAGGATACTTATTTTGCAAAGCTTATGTACAATTATCTTCATAATACAGTAAGGAACCGATTATCCGGAACGATCGGGACCATCGCTATTCCGGATAACTGATTTTTCCGGTTTTCTGAATCTCTGCAAGAAGCCGTTTTTTTTATTGTTAAACCCGACTAAAAAAAAAAAGTTATTTGGAAATAATCTTAAAAAGAAGAAAAAACGGTGTAGTAATACACTAAAGATTATTTCCAAAATGATGGTAAGGTAAGCAAGTTTCAAAAAAGTAGGAAAAATCCTGAAATCTTATGAGGAAAATTTTTTTTATTTTAAAATGGCAGGAAAATTATCGAATTTTGTTCCGGTTTTCTGATTTCCGGATAACGGGTTCTGTACTGTACCTTCATTTACTACCATATGATCTTACAGCAGATATTTTAAATTAAACTAAAAAATTAGAAATGACTCTTCAAATATACATTGAGAAAAAGTTAGATAGCATATCAAAAAGTTTGTAATTTTAATACTTATAAAGTCAATTCGTAACTCAAATTTAATAGGACTAATGAAAAACTTCAACCTACTGGAAGTAAGACCTTAAAATCATTTTAATACTTAGAAATTTAATTAACAATATATCTTTTAAGCTTCAATAATATTATAAATTTTCAATAGTATTATAAATCTTATATTTCAATAAAATTATCAAAAGAGTACTAGGAGAAATTATATTCTTCAATGCTATATCTTTTTTCTTAGTAATTGGATTTATATTCACATCATAAGTAAGAAATAAATTAGGTACTTGGAACTCGAGACAAAGTGAAGTAATTATGCCTAACTATGTGTTTTAAATCAGATTTAATTGGATACCTGTAAGCGATGTCACATGCATGTGTGAAACATGATTGGCTTCTAAATCAACAAATGCCACGATTTACAAATGATGACGCATCTTGCAGTCATTCAAAAATAGATAGGTAGTAATATAATAAAGTCATTGGTTAATGTTATAATTTGCATCTTAAAACACTTTAAAATTTGATGATTTTAACTATTAAAGAAACTTACATTCTTAAAATATGATAGATCTTGATATTATTTAATGTACTAATTTAAAAGATGACAACATATAATAAAAATACATCAATTAATAAACAAATGATATCAATTAAGTATTTAAAGTTCTCTATATATTTTTAATTATATATAAGACTAAAAAAGAAATACACTTTGAAGATTGATAATATGATAATTTAACATTTTAAATTTAAATATTGCATTATTTTAAAATAAATATCGCCTTTTAAACAAATTCAGAAAAAAATTAGGGATTATAAAAATCCGTTAAGGCAAATAAGAAAAAGTAAAATTTAATAGCTTTTGGTAGCTATTAGTCGTAATCTTTTAAATCCTTCTATCCTTAGATAGAAATGTGTAAAGACATAATCAATACAATTTAATTCAAGCATAATTAATGAGTAGCAAATATTATGAAAGTTTGATTTCTGAAAATAATGAAAGTATATTTTAACAGTTAAGCATGAAATCACTCATTTTTTTAAAACAAATAAAGTCTGTGTGCTTTTTAACAATATATAGCAGTTTCATTCCAAGTCATTATAGAGAAAAAATATAAGAGGTAAAATTTTTGTAAACCTTCACTTTCCATTTAATAGAAATGTAACTAATAAAGCAAAATTAAAGCTAAGAAGTCTGAAGCCGGTATTTACAAACCACACTATTACCTGTTTGATAGCCCTTGACCATAAACACTAGTGCAATAACACCGGGTAATAGTTCATAACCGTAAAAAAATACTAATGTCAGGAATACCAGGCAATGACCTTTAAAGTAAAAAAAAAAATCATTATAGTGAATCCTAATATCACAAGGGGCTTGTGGGCACTATACCTATATATATCACCTAATAATATATTGCTTTACCAATATATATTGTAAATTTTGGTTTTATGGTTTCAGCCAAATAAAGCATTGAAGATACTCCAGGCTTTAACTGATAAAAACCCCATCCTTAAGGTTTATCTTTCCTTCACGCTTTATCCATAACAAAATTCACACTAAAAATAATGTGCTTTATAAAATAAAACAATAAAGACAGCACCAAAACTAAAAAAGTAGGACATCAATAGTATCTATATGTATTAGATAAATAGACTATCTACTGTAAGTCATATTGTAAAGATACATTTTTGTACAATATAAATAAAAACATAAAAATATTCTCTGAATATTTTTCACCAACAAATACTTGCCATAAATCTCCTTTTTTACTAGAATTAATTGAGACCATTTCTTATAACTTGTGAATTAGGCTCTTTGGAGAAAACTTTGAAATGGCAAATCGTACGTATTTCCATTTTATTGATTATAAAAACATTTTGTATCACTTTCACTACTAGAGGAAAGTATGTGTTATGGAAAGTTTCCAGAACTCCCTATTAACTGCTTTAGACCAGAGTGCACAGTGTAAGGCATGTGGTCAGTAACCATTCTAGGACTTATAATAATTTGGTTAAAGTAGTCAGCGGTCACCCATCTTCCAGTGTAGCTGAAAGGAAAAAAGAGTAATGTTATAAAAATCATACGAACTTACAATATATAACAGAACTTTACAATGGTAATTTCAAAGTCATCCAATTCAGAGGGTAATTGTTCGCAGAATTGAATTATAACTCAATGCGCAAACAATTTGCTAGTACAAAAAATTTATATAAAAGATAAAGAAAATAATAATACAAGTTCCTATGAAAATATTTTTGGTAAAAATCTTAGGCTAACAAAGAATGGTGAGATTGAATATCATACAAAATTTTGTAGGGCATTGATGGGATAGAATCTTACACAGAATCATGGAATATATTTTTTATACAATAGAATCTTGCACTGATAAAGTATTATACAACAGAATCTCCAAATGACTAAAGTATTGTATAATGGAATATTACATTGACAAAGTATCATGGGATAGAATGCTCTACTGGCAAGGTATAATGTAACAGAATCTCATATGGACAAAGTATGTAACAGAATCCACATGAGAACAAATTCTCATGTAATAGAATCCACATCAAAGTATCATGCAACAGAAATTCATATAGATAAAACGTAATGTAACAGAATGTTACACTGATCATGGGATAAAATGTCCTACTGACAATGCATCATGCAACAGAATCCACATGGACAAAGTATTCTGGAATCTCATATAGATAATGTGTTATGTAATAGAATGTCACACTGACAAAGTATCATGGAATGCAATCTAACATGGACGAAGTAATGTGAGATAACATCTTATACAAACAAAGCATTATGAGGCAGAATCCTTCTTAAACAAAATAATAATATTTAAGGTATTTTGTCACGAATTTCTGTGCCAGGCGTTTATTAACAAGTCTATCAATAGTAGAAAAGGAAATTGTTTGGTCTACCCGTTACTCACAAAATAATAATATATATTAACAAATGAAGTAGCGGATTTTATTTAATAAATAACAGGGTTTTATTTCAATTACATGACAAATATAGTAAGTAAATTTTTGTGTAGTACTAAAAAAAATGGACACTCTGAATACCTTTTGATCTAATGATCGGATCTCTACGTTCTAAAACTCGATTTTAATGGTGACCTCAAATAATGCTAATTTAATTGGTGCAGGCGATATTTTAAGTTATGAAATCAGACACAAGCAAATGCTTTCTCTGAATAAACGTACCTCTTTTTCCACGGATTCGGATTTTTGATCCCCAAAATATAAAGGGCAGCCATAATCTGGGAAATATGGCCCCCATGGTTTGCTCAGGGGTGCAATCCAAAGTTTGGACCCCCTAATGTTAATTTTATTTTTTGCATATTCGGCCATATCACGAAAACTTAAACCAATTGAAAAATCTTTGCACTCAATTCTATCATTTATTTATCCAAAGATAATTCCAGAAAAAAAAATTTTTTTAATTAAATATTTATCATTTTTATTGTTTTATTTAAGAAAGTTCAAAAAAATTTTGAATTCTAACGCATAAAATTTTTTGCATCATTTTAAAGAACACAATTTTACATGGCAAAATATAAATTTTGAGCAAAATCAGTTAATTAGTTCCTAAGAAATTGAATATCAAAAAAGCCAGATATTTAAAATTTGATTTCTCACGAACGATTCGATCGATTTTGAGCAAATTTTATATTTTGCCATGTGAAATTATATTCTTTAAAATGATGCAAAAACTTGTAATACCTCACAATTAAAAAAAAAATTTTGAACATTCTTAAATATAATAAAAAAAATAATAAATATTTACTAAAATTTTTTTTTGTATGGAATTATCTGTAGATAAACAAATTTTATAATTGCGAGTAAAATTTTTTCAATTCGCTTAAAAAGTTCTAGAGTTATAGTAAAATACGTAAAGAATAAAATGTAACATTAAAGGGTCCAAACTTGAGCGCTATCCTGACCAAACTACTGGGACCATATTTTAGGGTTCAGAAATTTAAAACCGTAAAAAAAGGGTATGTTTATTCAGAGAAAATATGCTTTTGTGTCTGATTCCGCAACTTAAAATATCCTCTGCACTTAGCATATTGGAGGTCACCCCCTCAAGCTTATAAGATTGAGTCCTAGAACGTGAAGATCCGATTATTAGATCAAAAGTTACTCAGGGTGAGTTTTTTTGCGCACTGTACATTTATGTACCAAGAAAGGAAAAAAACTTTATGCCACTTTTTTTCAATAATAACAGTAAAAATAAAAAGAGTTACATGAAATAAAAAGGTACTAGGGCTCCAAACAGTCAAATAACGTAACACTGATATGCTTAGTGTTTTTAAAACTAACACTTAAATGTTTAGTGTTTTATTCAAAGTTTCCTGGACAGTATGTTAAGTATATTGAAAAATATAAAGAAAATGATTTCAATTGTAAATTACAATTTTTTTATTGTTAGAAGCAATTTATAAAAGAAAAATTAAATCTTTTTTCCATTCATTACATTTGAATTTTTTTACAAAGATTTTGAAAATATTGATTGTTAAGTGTGCCAAATTAGTCTTTATTAACATTTTTGTAACTGGGAAATATTTTAAAAATGATACTTAGCTTAGGAAAAATGGTTAAAGCTGTTTGCTTCAAATAAAATTTTACCTGTCCAAGTAAAAAATAAATAAATAAAAGTGATGATTATTATTATAATTAAGGTGATGTAACTCAGTTTTCTATAAAATGAATTTTCAATCGTTTGATATATTTTCAGGATTTAATACTGTTTGAGTTATAAAAACTCCACTGTATTGGCATACAGTGGAGTACAATATATATTAAGTACAAAATAAGAGCTACCTGGAGTCTGTAGGTGTTAAGTGCAGTATGCGACCAGGAATATACAGTGGAACAGGGGCTGATGGGCGTGAGTGTGTTGTATTTTGACCACTACTCATACTGCCTTCAGATGAACCCTCCTGAAATTATTACAAAACAATTCTTATTTTAACATTACAGTTTTTGAAAATTTGATTCTTTCAATAACATAGTATTTCAAGTTCTTGAAAATATTTTTCAAGAACTCCTGAAATTATTATAAAACAATTCATATTTTAACATTACAGTTTTTGAAAATTCCATTCTTTCAATAACATACTATAGCAAGCTCTTGAAATTTTTATTTTTATTCTGAAATATAGAGAATTTCCTATGAAGACTGCCTTTAATATATATTTTTGAAATCTTTATTAAAAAAAAAGACGTAAAATTAGGGCTTGCATACTAAAATTTAAGTGTGGAGAGAAAATTCAATCAGATTTTGTTGAAAAATCACTGAGGAAAAAGAGATTAAAAACATCAAAACCTGTTTGATTGCTGCAGGGAAATCGAAAGTGCTTTTAATAGTTGCCTTTAAACTCCCCTTAATTTGCTTACAAAATGAAATAGGTGTCAGTGTTTTCAGTTTTTAATTTCTCAATAACGATTTATTAAATTTTAACACTGTCTTAGTTAATAATTATGTCAATTTAACACATGTAAATATTATTGTACCAAATTGTTTTTTTTTCATTTTCAAAATATTAAAGTTAAAAAGTAAAAAAAATACCTGTGAACTATTTGTAGTATAATTTCCACTAGAATTTGTATGACCAAAATTCTCCAATAAAGGCCTAGATAAAGGAGCAGTAGTTGTATCTGAGTGAGACTGTTTCTTTCCCAGACAATGAAACAATTTTTGTAAAAATATTTTATACTGAAAATAGAAAGTAAGTATTCACAAAATATACTTTTAAAACAAACGCATAAGATAAAAATAGAGGGTATAATATTTCAAATCAATGCTACATAACCAGTGCAAGCCCTTTTGGCACGATGGGCAAGGTGGCAAAATAAAATAGTACCCTCTTATGAGTCCTGCCTTGCTTTCTGGGGTTTTTCGAAAAAAAAATTTAATTTTATTTTCTTGATGTTTTTTATTCTTTATCCCTCATCCATTTATACCTCTTTTACAGTTGAAGAGGAAGGAGATTCTTTTTCAATCAATATGAAGAGGGACTTTTAAAACAATAAAATTGTAATTTTCACAAGTTCCTTGGGAATTTCTCCCACATCATTCAGGGCATCTATATTCAAGCTCAATGGCAAAATTGCCCATGAGCAATGGCGCAACACAGACGGTCAGAGACAAGCAAAAGAGCTGAATCGTGACTGTCCCAGCGTATGTCAAAAAGAGCTCCTTAAGCTAAACAGGAACAGTTTGAGGAAAATCATTTGTCTTCTAATTGGACACTGCACCCTCAGGAGACACCTATATATAATGGGTACTGAATCTCATCCTCTTTGTCGAGGTTGTCATCGTCAGGGCATCTATATTCAAGCTCTATGGCAAAATTGCCCACGAGCAATGGCGCAACTCAGATGGTCAGAGACATGCTAAAGAGCTGGATCATTACTGTCCTAGTGTATGTCAAAAAGAGCTCCTTAAGCTAAACAGGAACAGTTTGAGGAAGTTCATTGGTCTTCTAATTGGACACTGCACCTTCAGGAGAAACCTATATATAATGGGTACTGAATCTAATTCTCTTTGTCGAGGTTGTCATTTTCAGGGCATCTATATTCAAGCTCTATGGCAAAATTGCCTATGAGCAATGGCACAACTCAGATGGTCAGAGACAAGCTTAAGAGCTGGATCAGTACTGTCCTAGTGTACGTCAAAAAAAGCTCCTTAAGCTAAACAGAAACAGTTTGAGGAAGATCAATGGTCTTCTAATTGGACACTGCACCCCCAGGAGACACCTATATATAATGGGTACTGAATCTAATCCTCTTTGTCAAGGTTGTCATCTTGAAGAAGAAACCTCATGACATATACTTTGTAATTGTGAGGTTTATTCTGCTCAAAGATTTGAGCATTTAGGGCAACATTGCATTAAGGCCTGGGAACTGCAAGACATTCCTGTCTGGTGTTTGCGCATCTTCATTTCAGCTATAAGGTTTTCCAGTTAATCACAATTTAGGGTTTGGGTACAATACTGGTATTTAAGGCAATTGAGATAGTTTGGCACCCTTAGTTACTCACTAAAAGGGGGGTCGATCCTCCTTGTTGACAATCATTTAAAATTTAGTACTTTTTTTTACATTCTTCCATTTAAGTTTTAATAAACCATCCATGTAAATTGTGCTAAATGTTAGAAAAATGAAACGATATTTTATCCACTTCATACATCGATTTTACATAGAATTATCATTACTTTATGTTGCTTGCATTTCCAAATAAATATTTAAATAAAAGTAAAAGTTTTTTTAACAGCTTAGCATTAACAAAATAAAATCTTTTCAAAATTAAAATTATTTAAAATGTTTGATAGGCATCAACATCTTTTAAAAATGACGAAGGTTATTTGTTGTGCGTTTTTATTTCTTTAAAAGATGGAGCATGGGAACAAAATACAAAAACAAATAATATAGAAACTTTTAGTTTAAATTTAAAATAATTACTTTTATAAATAATACTTTTCTGAGTTAATGTTAAAATCCTAATTGTTAGTTTCAAGTTTCTTAACTTCAGAGTATATTCAAGAGCTATAACCTATTATTAGACAATAACAACAGTTTTTCCTTTTTTAACATCCATCCCAAATTAATTAACAACATCTTAATTAACAACCCAATCTAACATTACATTTATAATTAATACAAAAACTACACAATACATTAGTATATAAAGAAATAACTTATCATAATTACACAATGAATTTTTAATGCATTTTTATTAGACAATGCATACATTATTTTGTAGGGATTTTATTTGTAGGAACAAAAAATATTTTTATTAAATTTCAGTTTAAGAGACTCAGACGTTCTGGTAAAAAATTGTAGCACTGATTACATAGAACCTTAAACTTTAAATTTAAATTAATAAAATACATGCATAAATTTAAAAGCAACCATCACTCACTTTTGGCTGTTCGCAATCTAAAATACAACTAAGTATCTTTCTTTTCATATCTTCTACATTTGGCACACTCAATCTTGGCACTATATCATCCCCCAAGGTCACTGACATAACAAAATCTTCTGAGTATTTAACAGCTTCGAAACTCAGAAGGCCACCTGGCGGACTGAAGCAGAAACAACGGAGGTTTGGATAAATAGGACGAAGGAGCATTGAAAGAAGAGCAGCAGTCCCTGCACCTAAACTATGGCCTGTTATTGTGAGTGAATAACTTTGATGGAGTGCAAATGCATCGCTCAGGGCATGGCTCTCTTCCAATTTATTCTTAACAAACATAGCAGCCCTCAGCATGCCTCGATGACAGAAAATACCTTGAGGGCAATTGTCGGTAAAAAGTCGATCACACTCAGCCGTAAGATCTGTCAATAAATCTGATAGAGTCAGAGTTCCTCTAATGGCAACAACGACAGAACAGGTTTGGTGATCAATAGCTACATAGAAGGGTATCTCATAGACTCTATTGTGGAAAGAGACAAAAATCAAATCTTCATCGGTGAGGCCTGTGACATATTTTAAAGCAGCGGTATGACACTGGCAACAGTTATCATCAACAATATAGCTCGGAGGTTTGCAACAGCAGGCACAGCACCTATAAAAAATACATAAAAAAGTTGATTCAATTGAATTAAATTATGATAGACCACAGCATTTGAGTATTGATAACAAAAATCTTTTATATTAAAATAAATACCGTTAATAATTTTTTGAAATTTCAATGTTAATAAATATAACACAGTGAAAGCACAAAAAAATTAAAAATTTAGTGATAGGTGTAGTTTTGGGGACAAAAGCAACTCTAAATATATATTACTTAATTAATCAACTATTCCACGGTAAGTAGGAAGTAGATATAAAAAAGTTTTCATTCCTCATTTTTTGTAATTTAAACGTTTAGAGAATATATATATAATATATAGAATATATATTAGAGAATATATACATATATATATATATTAGAGAATATATATATATATATACATTAGAAGAAGATAATCAATAACCCCCTTGAACACGCATTAAAACTACGGCACTGATTATTATGAACATATCATAACCATTTAAGCAATCAACATTTTTCAAAAACATAGTATTTAAATATGATAATAAATTTTCGTATCATTTCTTAGACATAAATGAATGTTAAAAGTCTGGAAATATTATCTATTAATATCGATTTAAAAATATAGATTTGTTGGGATTATAAATTATCCGTATTTGATTATAATTAGAAAAATGCAAGATAAATACATTTTTTATATGTCCTTTTAAATACCTATAACTAAAGTTTTTTTTTTTAAAAATGCATTCTCTTAATGAATGCAAAAAATAGCACTTTAAAACCCTTTGATGCAGATTGGACACCCGTGTCCCGTTTATATATTTTTTCCTAGTCTTCTAAGTACAAGCAAAAAATACATTTTGCTATTTTTTAATTATAAAAAACAGTCTAGTAGTTACTAAAAAAACAGGTTAGATTATTGGAATTATATTTGTACCAAAATATAAAATACAAAAAAAGTTTTTTTAAATTTTGCCCTATTTTAAGGGTCAGGATTTCAAATATGTAAAAAAAAAATACATGTTTATTCAGAGAAAGTACGTTTTTGTGTCTGATTTCGTAACTTAATTAATAGTTAGCACTAATTAATTAGCATATTTGAGGTCATCCCCGGGAACCGTTAAGTTCAACACTTAGTTTGTGAAAATCCGATCATTAGAACAAAAGTCATTCATGGTGATATCGTTTTTTTGCCGAGTGTACACTTAGATTGTTGCATAGATAAATATTTTACATAACATATACCGACATAAATATAAAAACATGCAGTGTAGCTAGGAACCGGCACAGATCCTATGCAATTCTAAAACCTTACTTCCTCTAAGAGTTTGCCTTAACCTTTTTTGAGATATCCTGCAGAATAAATATATTATGCAAAAGACCAGTTACAGTTGCATATGCAGGATAAATACACATTAAAGACGAGTTACAGTTACCTGATGTCTCTCCATATTTGGCACATTCCTGCGAAACAGTTGGTGTAAAGAAACATAGGCCAGCCGTAGCTTCCTTCAGCAAATTTCATAAAATGACAGGCAAGCTCAAGTGTCATCCAAAACTGGTTGGCAGGAGGAGTTAAGACACCAGGACTAGAAATAATGCTACCTTGAACAGCACCTGTCAAACAATCAAAAATCCTATGTAATGAAAATTTGAAGTTTAGATTAATATACAGTGGAAAGTCCTGTATCTGGAATGGTCAAGACTTCTAAAAGTTCGGAAAATAGATTTTTCTGGATAATAAATCTTTTAAGTAAACAGATATTGAAACATGTGTAATTAAATAAAAAAATAACTGATAAACAATAATTAAATTAATTTCATACATCAATCTTTTTTATAGGTTGAATAACATTTAAAAAACTAAAGAATATTTAGTACAATAATACAGTCGGACTTCTATTTAACAAACCTCCATTTAGCGAATTTCTCTATTTTGCGATTTTTTTCGAGGAACCAAGAACATTTTGGAAATTTCTTTGTGAAATAACTTCCAAATAGCGAAGTGAATTTTCTATTTAATGAATTTTTCTTTAAGATCCACTCTCCCTATTTTCCAAAATATTTCGTAACATTTCAAACTTGTGAACAGATTTCATGGAAGAAATTACCTTGAATTGATTTTCGCAGCCACTTTAAGACAAAGCGGTAAAATCCTTTTCCCTTTTTATTTGCATTTCATGCAGGAATCTATGCCAAAAATCAATTTACGAGAAAGCATAACAGAAATTTCTAAAGCTTGGAACTATGATGTTACAGATAGTACTATTCGTAACAGTTTTGCTAAAGCTGTATTCTTAGTCAGCGCGGAGAATTCGGAAAGGGCGGAGGACGAGAATGACATTCTTTTAGAACCTTTATTGAATGGTTAAAAAAATGCGGGTACAGCTAAGAGAGAACCACAAAATTAATGATGAAGTACTGACTAATGATTTTCTTTTTATTGATTCTGAAGCTGCAATCATGGAAACATTAACTGAATCGGATATTTAGGACAGTGTGAAAAATAAAAATACTACAACAATAAATTGTGAGGGAGACAAAGATGAAGAAATCACCAAACCTTCATATGATAAAATGCAAAAATCCTAGTGTTTATCAATTTAAAACCTGTTTTGTGCTGTGTAGTATATCAAATGGCGATTTTCTATTTAACAAATTTTCCAGATAACGAACTTTTTATCAGGATTTAGAGACTTTGTTAAATAGAGGTTCGACTAAATATACATATTATGTAAAAAATACCAGTTAGAGTTATATTCTTTACCTGATATCTCTCCATATTTGGCACCAGATAATACTTAACACACTAGAACTTTTATTTATTTGATAAAGAACAATGGATATCCAACAAATCTAATTAAATTCCATATAAAATCATTGAATTTCTTGTATCTTATAATTATTAATGACTTTGTTAAAAAAATTTTGTTAATTAAATTCATATTTTTATCAAATGCAAATTCAATTCGGGCAAATCTGTAGCTAAAAATCTTCTAATATTTAATAAAGAATTTTTTTCAATAAATGTCAATTTTTCTAAAAATCATCAAAATTAAAATGCTATAATTGAAACATGACCTTTTATTAATTATAAAGTTTGAATTATCCAGTATAATATTACTACTAAAATGTTTCAAATAATTTTTGCAAGATGTCATAAAGGGGAAGAACATTTAAATTCACTATTCACTTTATATATTGCATTTTGTGTTTTATTCTGCATTTTTCTTTAATTTTTATTTTCTTTCTTTTGCAGTTTTTTTGCTTAGTACGTCTTATATTCATGTCTTTCTTCTTTTTTTTTGGTGCTCCTTACACTTGGTATAATTATACTAGTGTCTATGAATATTATATTAACACTCAAATCTTCTCAATCTAAAATCTTCAAATTAATGATTTTTTAAGATGGCATTTAAAAACATAAGCACTAATTAGAAAATTTTCTAAGACCTTCAAAATCTCTAGTAATTTTGGCTTTTTAATTATCAAGAATAGTATGTCTTTACCAAGAGTTATTTTATTCCTGCCAAGAAGTTATTTTATAACAGTCGTTGAACAACCGACACAATTTTGAGCTTAAAACTACCAATGTTCAACTCTGTAGCCTTGTAATTTTGAACCCAATCCAGAAGACAAGGAAATCAAGTATGGGGAGAAATTTGTCTTAGTGGAGGACTTTTTGATGGAACTAATCCGCATTTCCGTTACATGGAGTGGAAAACCACAAAAACAGCCCACGGTTAGCCTGACGGGCAGCGGACTATAACCCGTGATCTATCTACAACTGAGGATATTTTACGTCCGCACTGTGGTCGAGTGAAATTCGTATTGACCAGCAATAGCTGCTACGGCTCAAAGAAAGTAATCATACTTTTGTATTCATAATTGTAATTGAAACATTTGCAAACTGTGTGCCAAAAAGTAAATAATAACTGTAAGTAATAAACTATGACGCATGAAAAGCTTACACCCATTTATGAAACTTGTTTATCTGTAGATAATTTCATGCTAAAATTGATCAAATAAATTAAGACAAGTTTTTGCCTGATTCTTTAACTAATTAGAACATTTATAGTGTCCATTTAACATATGCTAAATACCTACCAGTGCTAGTTAATGAATCGGGTGACTGAATGGAGTAATTCTCAGAATGTTGTGAGGTAGAAACTCTGTTAGCATTTTCAGCTGCCTGCTTCTGTTGAAGAAGGATTAGACCAACAGCAATATCTGAAGGAACAAGGTCCACATCCTGGAAAAAATGATAAAATTTGATAATGCGATTTAGTCTTGCGTTAACAGAAACTTAAGCCAAAAAGGTAATACTCACTTCAAAATGGTAAGTTAACAATTTGGAAATTGTGGAAAAAGCACTTTTACTCTGCTCATCTTGGCTAGTGAAACAGCAACAAAGCATACGTAGCCTAGAAAAAGTTCATATAATAAATTGATTTGATTGATAGAAACATAAATAACAAGTTGCAGCTACGATAATTTATAAGACTTACTGCCGATCCAAACATAAAACATTAATTGAGACTTAACTTTTTAGGAAAACTGACAGGAATATCAAAGGATAACATTCAAACCATCTCAGAAAGTTTTTTTTGGAATGTATTAGCATTAAAATATAAAAAATGTTATTTACTTGTTAAACGTAATAAATGTTATTTATTATATGAGTTAAAGTAATTATTTTTTAAAAAATACATTTAGATTTCAATTGTTATGAAACTTTACTTTCAAAGATTTTTAAGTATTTTTGAATATATATATAGGTAGATAGATAGACAGATATAAAACGCTGCATATCAATTTCAAGGACAGCTAACAAATCGTCTAACTATTACTGATATCAATGATACTTAATTAATTGTGGTAATAGGTATAACTAGCATTGTGATAATAGGCAATAGGTGCTGTGGTAAAAGTACTAACATAAAAGGGCTGAACTAAATTATGAAAACACTTCTATACTAACACATTTTTTTTATATTTCTCAAGAAATACTTAAGAGAATAATTTTGTAACTTTAAAAGTGTGCAAGTTTTGCAATTTCTCACACATCAATGAAGTTCAAAGCTTTTAGAGGTTTGAGGGATTTTTTACTTAACACTTTCTTAAACTGAAGGACTATTTAATAAAATTAAACAAAATTTTTAGAGTTATTTTTAACTAATAACAAATATATTATTTTGAAATGTGAAAAAAATTCTTAAAAAACTGCACAATATATGAGCATTAAAAGTAATCCTTTCATGCTGTGGGAATACATTTAAAAAACGTTTTTCAAAATTTTGTTCTGAATCACATTTAGTAACATATAAAAAATAAATAAATTCCGATTTAAATATCTTGAAAATTTAAAATGCTTCTAAAAATTTCCCAAGTAGTTTTTGTAAATTGAGAAAGAAAGTTGTGAATGGAAAGGGGTTTTCCGCATATTATATTCTATACTATTACCTAAGATTCATTATTAAACATGACATTGACACTATATATAACGATTCCCTATTGAAGTATGTTTTATTTCACATGCTTTCTTTTTTTATACTAACACATTTTGCTGTCTGGACCATCATTGCAGGGTATTATCATTTGCCATTAAATTTTAATATATGATACTAAATAAAGCTTATGAAAAACCACTTATCAATCAGAGCTTTCTTAAAAAAAATTACGAAAGCTACTTAAAACTTTTTATATTTTCAAGTTATTAAAATCGAACTTTTTACGTAGGTTACCAAACACGATTTAGAACAAAATTATGAAATTTTTTTTTATTGTTTTCTGCTCATGGACAATATGAAAAAAATACTTTGAATATTTATATCTTGTGCAATTTTGAACGATTTTTCTTCAAATTTTAAAATTATTTGTTTTTATTAACAAAAAACTACTCTAAAAATTTTGTCATTTTTAATGAATATTTCTGCTGTTATAGTACGAAAACACAAGACAGAAAAATTAATTTTTTATAAAAATATCCATATTTCCATAAATATTTTAGCTAAGCTTACGCAATTTTGTTCAGTTATTGCATGATTTAACGAAAAAAAATTTCGCAAGCTACAAACTTATTGTTATATTTTTTGGAATCGGGTGTTCATGAACACTCTTCTTGGTTCAGAATTGCTTAGCCCCACAAACCACTAAAAGCTTTAAATTTTATTGATGTATTTGAGAAATTGTATGATCTAAACACTTCAGAAGTTATTCTCTAATTTCTTGCGAAATATGAAAAAATAAGTTAGAATAGAAGTGTTTCCATTATTTTGCCAATCTCTGTAAGTACTGTGGTAATAGGTTTTTAACTGCCCTTGAAAATGTTAAGAACCAATATAACTAGTAAGGGTGAATTATAATACATTGCCTAGATAAACTTACCTCCACTCCCAAACTTTCTTCGCCCTTTCCACGTTATCAGAATTTAGGTTAATATAAAGAGCTTGAGGCTGGCCATGTTCAACATCAGCAACTCGATGCCTGCTTCCATTATTGCGATAAGAATTAATGGGATCAAAAACTAACAAAACAGCAAGAAGCAAGACTCCAAATAAAATCCAACTACAAATAGCAATAATCTGTAAATGGAAATAATTATATGTAAAATAACTGCATACTAAAAATGATTACTTATAGCTACAATAAAATAATTTTTTTTTTAAACATTTAAGTATTTACACTATTTGAATGAATTGCAATGGCATAGTACTATTAAAGTACTGAACCCTCATTGTTAATTACTGGCGTTCCAACACCAGCATTAGTTTGAGGCTCACCTAGTTTCAGATAGATATATCAACTAAAAAATAAAAGCAGCTGGTTTGCAATATTAACCTTTACCTCCATTATACTCTTGGTCACAAAATTTAGTAGACCACCATAAGCTCCCCCTGGTTCATAACCGACTGTTGCAAAAATGCTTTATATCATTTGTAAATTTTTAAAAAAATGTTTTAATTTTTAAATTTAACTGCAAGGAATTCAAATTAATAGGTGAACAAAATATTGAAAGGTTTTATTTAGAATAAATATATTGTGTTTTGATTGCAGTACTTACTGTTATAAGTTATCGTTAGTACAAACTGATTTTAAATTAGCAATTACAACTTGAAGTTAACCCTGTAGGATTGCATTTACAAACCATTTGCTCTAATTTGTAATTCATATCAAATTCATATCAAATTCAACTAAAACAAAAAATAGCATATAAAATAGAGGCACTCATTTGTTATTCATTCAAGGCTCCTCTCACAGATAAATTGAAAGAGAAGTGTTATGAAATTAAAACAAAAAATGCTGTAGTGCTAAAAGGTATGACATTTCATATTCAGTCGCATGTCGTTTGCTTAAATAGGGAATAAATTACCATTATTTTTTAAGTATGTTTCGGTACTTAAGCATCAATTGAAAGAATCTGTATCTAAAAAGTCCATGTACCTTTATTTAATTTTTAAAAAAAATACCAAGAATTTTTAACGTTTTAATTTTTCACAATAGAGTTGTAAATTATTATCAATCTAAATATTGATTTCAATTCTTTTATGCTACAATTTAGGTAAATTAATTAAAACTAAAATATATGTGAATAATCGTCTGATCTTACCTTATAATTTTTTAATTATTATTTTTAATATTTGTTATTACTTGCAAGGGAGCAGAATATGACTAATCATGGGAACGGGATTTTGAGGGAAATTCAGGGAGCAATAGAAAAATTTTGAATTAAACAAGTTTCTACAAGATTTTTTATTGTTAAAAAATGTGCTGATTTGCAAAAAAAAAAAAAAAATTCCTTATTAAAAGAACAATAAATGTCAATTTGTTTATTTATTAGTTTGAATTCCTTAAGTTTATGAGCAGGACCTTTAATAAATTATTACTATTTCAATACATTTTGATTTTTATTATTTTTAACGCATAAGCTCATTTATTCAAGAATTGTGTAAAATCAAATGATTTTTTTGCTTACATAAACTTCACTTTCCAAAAATATTTTTAAAAAGTCATTGTACTAAAAAAAAAAGCAACAGATTTAAAACTACTTGCAGGTAATCGCATGCTTCTGGGAAAAGAAGAGTTATAATGGGAATAATAGAAAAATGATTTTACATATAATGAATAAGATGACTAAGTATTATTTTTATAAGATAATTGTTTTTGTATCTTTATTTTCTACAATAAAAAAATTAATGGATCGGATAAATTGCAATTTTACACACGTCTATTTATAATTTAATATTTTCTATACCAAAGTTTGGATTTTTGGCAGCAATTGTCAAAACAAAAAGAGTTTAATGCTAAAGTAATTCAAAAGCATAATTGATCGATCACTTGTAATTTTATATGTATGCTTACTTATAAATGTACTTCATATTTATAATAGCTAATAATTATCTTTACAATAAAATTTTAGGTTTTTGAAAATTGTCAAAAACTATGTTAAAAAGGGTTTTTTGAGACTGCGGTTAAAACCATGATTAAAATTGTTACTTGACAAAAAGTTGTCAACAAAACTTGCCATTAAAGTCTATATGTTGTGCAAGATAATTTTGAATGGTGACCAAGCTGGTCACCACAGGCGACTAGTTCCACTATAATTCTCTTTCCCAATTCTTTATCTGGATATAATTTTGTAGCTCCTTGTTGTAAATTTAGATATAGACTCTGTAATATAAATAAATGCACAAAATAACTTTATAATCACCTGAACTGAAATTACGACTTCATGTGGTTCACATAAATGATCTTGAGAAGCAAATGCCCATTTAGTACCAAGAGCGTTCCATACAATTTCTGGTATCATAACTAGCAATCTTAGATATAAAATTTTACTAAGATGACGTCTAGGCCTCGTCTGAAAAATTATAAAAGAAACAATATTAAATAATGATTGTAGAAACTTAGAATAAAATTAAAATTCAGATGTTAATAAGCAGAAAATAGTATGAATTTAAAAAATTGGTAAAATCCTAGTATACTTTACACATTTTGTGTGATTTTGAAAAATATCACCAATACCAAAATGACATGTTGATGCTTGCTGCCAAAAATTGACGCAAGCAAAAACATAGAAAATTGCAAATGCATAAACATGCTATAAGAAAAGGGTAATTTTCGTTTAACCAGGAACAAAAATATTTCTTTTGAAATTTTTGTTTCATTTTATTTAATTTTTACATCTTTAAAAAATAAATAAAATGAAAGAAAAAAAAAGTTGATGGAGGTATATATTTTTTGATGACGTTTTGCATGCTTCCGGCTAACCGAAAAGTACCAAAAAGTATACAAATCAAAATTTAGCCCGCATCCAAACATTGTCAAATAAACCGGATAATGTATACTATTATTAAAGAAAAAATTTTATTACAAGAGGAGAAAATAAATAATAATAAAACAAGAGAAAATTGTGATTGCATTATTGCATTGCTGGTTATCCAATGGTTAAAAAAATTTTTTTTTTAAGATATACTTTTATAAATGCTACAATATTTCAATCATGGATTGCAAAAATTATATCAATTGATGTTTGTCCTCTTGTTGTCCAATGGGCTGGTTTGGTTTTCAATTCCAGTTAATATACATTTCGTACAATGCCACAAAATTATTTTTCTTTTTGGGTATTCATACTTATATTAAAATTGCTGTCAAGAACTGCCACCTAGTTATGAAAAAGTTAATCATAAAAAGTTCATAAAAATAACTTAAATTAATATTATGTAAAATCCTTAAAAACAAAAAGAAAAACATCAGTCTGGAAAATAAAAAATTCTTGTAAGTTTAAAAATTATAACCAGTTTTTTTTCTTATTAATGCTTATGTTGATTTTTAGAACTTATTATTTGCGATTATGGTGTTCAAGTTGATCTAGTCAAAAAATGCGCGCTCCTACAAAGTTCGGTTATACACAATAATTCCATTGAAAAAATTTGACTATATTGCAAGAAAACTAAAATTGAAAGAACAGCAACTAGGACTATTCTAACAAACATTCAAAGGGGTAACATTATGCCAAAGAAATTATTTAAAAAATTGAAAAAATCATTTTAATTTTGTTTAGTTTATCAATATTCACCGCTTCATATTAGTATAAAAGAAGATATTTATGATGCTAAACTTGAAATGTGAGGCTTTGGCTTTTAGAATTTTGTGTTAAATTTGGTTGTTAGGAATGGGATTTTATATTTTCATAATAGTGTAAAACAATATTATAATAATTAAAATACGGTAAAATTAAAACAATATTTACTATGTAATTACATGATGAAATCGCAATTGATAAAAATAGTTGTTTTTGCCTGTATTTTGACAAAAAATAAAAAGTTGTTTTAGTAGCCTATTCTACAAAAGAGTCATTTTAGTAGCCCTTTTAGTTGCCACTTGCAGCCTTGCACAAAAGAGCAAATAAATAAGCACTTTTAATCAAAAACAATTTTGAATAAAAAACAATGAGAAAATAACATTACCTACTGAAGAAAAAATAGAAACTACATTGAGAATCTGGCAGATTGAGCAGTGTAAACAAAATGACAGAAAGTATGGAATAAATAGATCAGTTAATTAGTTTAGTTAACAGTTTAACTAGCTATATAACTGATAAATAATTTTTAGCTCAGTCAGGAGTCAGCTGGTCAATGACAATTTAAAAATTTGGATCACCACCGAGAGAAAGCATGACTCGACTTCCTCAATTCTTGAAATTAGCAATATATATTTAGTTTTATTAAGAAGAATTAATATTTGATTTTATTATTATTTTACAGATCTATTTATTCAATCTCTCATTTTATTTGTAAGGCTTGGCCAGCTAGAATTACAATGTATAGCACTTGAAAATAGACAGTTTTTTAAAATTAATTTTAATTGCTATTTGCTTCTTTAGCAATTTGATTTTATTTAAAACTTTCTCTCCATATATTTATATTATTTCTGAAAATTGGAGCATGCTCAAATCACTTCAACCCTTAAGTTGAAAATTCTAAGAGGAGATTGTTTCGAACTGCTTCAGCTTTTAAGCCGTACGCATTTGTTTGACGGTTGACAGTTTTGGGAAAATTTAGATAATTAGTTAGTGATTAATTAATGATTTGCAATACAAAATAATAATTTGGAGCTTACCTGAGTGATGGTCCCTCTAGAGCTAATCCACCCAATTAGCAAGTCTAAGAATAAAATAAATAGCAATATCACCAACGAAAACAACAGATAAGTGTGCAATAGCCGTTCTCCCTTGCATTTTAAGTGGGTTCTGTGAGTTATAAATGTAACAAGGATAGCTACAAACCTAAAATTTTAAACATTAAAACAGGTAAATGCTTTGTAAATAAATATAAAATTACTTAAAACAATCAATTCAAAATATGTAAAAAATAATGAAATAGAATGAAAATTACATTTTTAGATGTACTCAAGCAATAATTATCATTTAAATAGCATTTACATAGAAAGATTATATAAAAAATGAATAATTTACCATAATAATGTTACAATGAATTCCCCAATAGCAGTAAAAACAAAATCATCACTGCCAATGCGCCAGCGGCGTCTGAACATAATAAGACCAGGCATTTTCCCCCTAAAAAGAGTAAAAATCATGTAAGAAAAATAATTATATAACTTGTTGATTATATTTTGCAACCTTAGGATTGATTTCTGACTAAATAAGCTTAACAGTGTCTTACTGATTCTTTTAAAACGTTTTAGCGCTTTATATAACTTTTTAAGTTGAAACTCTATTAAATTAATCGAATGAATAGTAATTTATGAAACATGAAAGCATGCTCGATAGAAAAGAAAAAGAATGATGCAAGATTTTACATAACATAATACAGTAGGGAACAAATTATCCGGAACGATCGGGACCATCGCTATTCCGGATAGCTGATCTTTCCGGTTTTCTGAATCGCTACAATAAGCCGTTTTTTTATTGTTAAACCCAACTAAAAAAGAAATATTTGGAAATAATCTTAAAAATAAGAAAAAACGATGAAGTAATACACTAATGATTATTTCTAAAATGATGGTCTTTCAAAAATGATGATCTTTCAAAAAAGAAAGAAAAATTCTAGAACATTATGAGGAAAAAAATTTTTTTTTTTAAATGGCCTGGAAAATTTATTGAATTTTGTTCCGGTTTTTTGGTTTTCTGATATCCGGATAATGGGTTCTGTACTGTACTTCATTATCAGAGAATTATGTAATTTCAATCTTAACATAATCTTTATAAATTTTATTAACTCTTAAATATGTGTCAATGTTTAGGAATAAATGTATTATGTAAGCATATTTTTAGGCAATTTTTGATTCAGTTTCCCTTTGGTCACCAAAACTAAGGAAATCACAATCCCTTTATTCCTCACTTCAGCTTTAGCCATAGTAATATAATTTTAGGATTGAATTCAAATAAAGATATATCTTTGCGTAAACAAAATTTACATTTTAATTCCTTTTATAAAATTTGAAGTAGAATATTTTTAATCATTTGTATTTGCCTTCATCATTTGTATTTGTAATCATTTGTATTTGCCTATATTTGTAATCATTTGTATTTGCCTTCTTTGTTAAAACCCTTGACATTAAAGAAATTTTATCCAAGTGTAATTCTTTCTAAATTTTTTGTTAAACACAATATTTCTTTTACTTTGAAAAAAGAAAGACATTTTAATGTCTAATGTAATCATTGCTCTTTTCTCTCCTCTTCCCTTGACAGCAAAAATAAGTAAATCACTAAACTTCCCCCTTAGGTGCTTACACAATATTTAAATATCTTTGTGTTATAAAAATCTAGAAAAAAGTAAATGAAAAAAATATTTTTTTTCCCTTGACATTTCAAGAGGAACTTTTAGAGGATTGGAACAACAAAATATATATATATATATATATATAGTGTTCATTGATTACAGATTTTAATAGCAAAAAGAGCTTAAATAACTACACAATCCTAAATTTAATGTACAGAGGAAACCTTGATAACTTTTTGGAGCCAACTATAACCAAGTAGTCAAAATGCTACTTAACTTGCAATGAATTTTAAAAAAAGTTAATAAATTGCCTGGAAGCCACGATTAAGTATATTCTCTGGGTTTGTATTTCTTTTTTTTCCAATTTCATTTACACAATTAGGATATTTTCAATGCCATATCTGTTTTCTCAATTGAAACCACCAAATGTTAGCGTGCAGTTTTTTGCTAGCAATAAATTGAAAAGAAATATCAATAGATTGTGACTAGCCAAGGATTTAATACTAGCTTTAACCAACGAATTTGCTTCATTTTGTGATTTTTTTTTTCCAGTTGTTTCCAAGACACTTCCCAATTGCTGCCAAAACCTGATGATTGTTATAGCACGGGGAAATATATCAAAGAGTGCTTAAAAAGTAAGTCTGACACCAAATCGAAATGAACTAAAAAGAGAAAAGAATTACCTAGCCTTTGCTTTTTTTTAAAAAAAAAACCTGGGAAGCTTTTATGCCCACAGGTAATAGGAGTATCATTACTCTAGGGGTGACCTAGGTAAAAAAAAACCTTTTAACATCAGTATATAAACAAAAAACAAACAAAAAGCGAGGAAATTCAGTTTTAAAAAAAATTATAATTCTAAACTGAATTTGAAAATGAGTCAATCAACATTAATAGATTTCATTAAATATATATGCCAAATGCATATTTACTTTTAAAACTTGTGTATATAAGTTCATGGAATAAAACCTTTTTTTTTTTACTTAAATTTTATAAAAAGATTCATTCAAAAACAATTTTCACTTGGACATTGTCATATTTTACAATTAGTAAATATAATATAAAATTACAAATATCATTTAATATATAAATAAATGACAAACAATATTTGGGTTTTTACAGTTTTTGTGCTGCAGAGAGATAATAATTAACAGGGAATAATTCCTCATTGAAAATTGTAAAAACATTTTAATAAATGAGCCACAAATTAAATATAAAAATATGTTCTTTCAAAAAATGATTTCTAAATAATGGTTTATTAAGAAATAAAGTTTTAAGAAATGATTTGTTTAATTACGGTAAAATGTGATAGAAAAAACTGACTATATGTAAAAATATGATCTGTTTTATTTTTTACAGTCTTCCTCACGGAATAGAGCAATTAATAAACCATAGTATTAGAACAATTAAGTATTAAGTAAATTCTTTTAGAAAATCAACCAATTTAACAAAACCAAGATTTATTTAGCGACTTTTTATTAGCAACAATGAGTAAGGTTTTATTTATTTATTTTTTTTAAAAGGGAAAATATCAGTGGGGAATAAACATTAAAAAATGATCTGATTAATTAATATTTTTGACATGAAATACAAAAACTACTACAAAATACTCTGCATTATTATTAGATGCACACAACAACTTGAAAAATGCAAAATTAAAAAAAATATTTATCCCAAATTATACAGAACAGATGGATCTTTCTAAGTTGTATATGATACTTACGGTAGAACTGATTTTTAAGCAATTATAAGAAATAATTAGTAATAAAATGGGAATTTTATAATCAAGTGTCTACGTTTTTCATCATATTTAATATTATGATCCTGCACTTTGATCAAAATATGCCAATACCGACTAGAAAAATAGAAACAGCTGCCATAAAAGATTTAACTTCTGACATTTAAGGTTTCGTTATTTTCATTGCAGCAGAAGATGCACTTGGAGTTGAGTTGCAAACTTAAGTAGAAAATTTTTTAAAATTATTTTTATAAAATATCGTTTTCACATTTGAAAGGTTTTTTTCCTTCATCAGTTAAATCTTTTAAATTAAAATACAAAAATTAAGAAAAAGCAGCCTAAATTGTGCTAGTGAAATTATAACTTAAAAGTTTGCCTGTTCGAATAATATAATTGTTTATTTGTTTCAAACCGTTTCAGTTTATATTAAGAGCAATTTGTGAAATTTACGAACAAACACTTTTAAAAGCTGTCGAATTCACTGGCTTCACGCAGTTGATTACGCGATGATACAAGGGTTTGATTGGAGCATTCGAGTTGTGGCAGAGGGGAGGAGGAAGGAAGTGAAGCGTAAAGGCAAGCTGTTGTTGATGTTGACATTTTAAGTTACTGTTGCATCGTATTATAAAATTTTATTTAGCTATTCAAAATGCTATATAATTGATTTCTTTTATTTATCTTACTTTTATAACATAATTATAGTTTAGTGATATCGTAATTTTTTAAAAAAAATGGAAGAAAACAATCGACCTCGTCGGGTTAATAAAACTCGACCTCCTTATGATCTAAGACGAAAAGTTTTATTAAAAAACTTTCTTCGTGAGCAAATGTCCCCCATACCTTTACAAACACGAATTGGAAGTTTAGTGAATAATGAAATTCCTCAGAATTCTTCCGAAAATGAAATTGTTGATATTGAAAATTTTGAATCCACATCCACTAGCAATGCGATGAACCTGGATGTTTCTAGTGATGCGCTTGATCCACTGAGTAGTTCTGAAATATCATCCTCTTCCGAAATGGAAATCGACGATGAAGATTCTACTGAACTAGAACACAATCGTAGCTCTCCATCTAAAAGTACACGGACATTTAATTTTACCAAAATTACAGAAATAAAGTTATCGCGATTTAATTCCCTTAAAAGAAAGAGTCCTTCTTTATCAGCCGAAGCAGTTAAAGTAATTGCTGGTAAAAACTCAGCTCAGTTAGAAGGCAAGGAAAAGCACAGTAAAAATGTTAAAGCCGAAGTGCCTGCCAGAGAATCTAAATATAATGCTTTTATGTCACCTTGGAAACGAAAGCCAACCATTGAAATGGGTAAAAAAAGAGGTATTATAAAAGCTAAAAATATGTTACAGTCGTCTAAATTTCCATTTAAACAGCAACAGCTAGATGAAAGCAAATCTTCTAAGCTGAGTAAAGTCCGAAAAATGATTGCTGTAGTTCATAATGTGATTAAAGGGGAGAGTCCAAAATTTAAAAATGTATCTTCTAGAGAAAGTTATTTTAAGAGTGCAAGGCAAACACCTCCACAATATGAAAATACAAATTTTGATTTGAGGTTCTCTAGTACCAGGTCTTCCAAGTACGACTCATTTAGTAATGGAATTTCGATTGATTACGAGAATGAAGAAAACGATTCTGACATACCAGAAAGAGTACGAATGATTAAAGCTATAAAAAAAAGACAATATTGTGGAAAGTATAATACCCCACATGAGGAGTCTTTTCGCAGCAGATCAGTCCTTAAAGATCCCAACAGTTTTGTATGCAAACTTCTCAGAGGGAAGACTTTTCGCAGAAGTGTTGGAGGTGATTCGCAAGAACAAGATAGGTCTTGGGCTCACAGTTCTGATATAAGCTGGTCTTTAAATGAAATCAGAAAATTGGAAAAGGCTAACAAACGCCTGAGAGAAGAAAATAAACTACTCTCAGAGAGTTTGTCGAGTGTCATGGCTGACGTTGATGTAGCTCTTGGATCTTCTCGTAAGCGATCCCGTCCTACTTATAATCCTTGCCAATCAAATATAAGCGATTCTCATATTAATAAACAGGAGCCTAAACAGTATCATAGAGATGTTGATACCCCAAGATGTAAGGTGTTGAGATCTAGATCTGTTCAAGATCGTGGAGAAAGGAGACGTGAAATCAAATCACGGTTATCTTCTCGAAGCATGTGCCATCAACAGTACTCTAGAATACCACCTAGAACTTTATATAGAGCTAAACCTTGTATAATTAATCCTCGTCCATCTGACGAAGTCCCTCTTCCGTATCCTGAATTGCCGCCCATTCTCTCAGTTTCCTCAGATCGCAACTGTGCTAAACCTATCAGTAGAAGATTCTCAATGCTTGAAAGCATGTCTAGAAAACCTCAGGTTCATCGAAGATCCAGCTTTGCTTATGAAAGTAGAACTTATAATCGTCATAATCTGCTTTCGTTACCTGCAGAAGCATTTTATTAATTTTTTTGTTTTAGTTCTTTGATATTAGTTTTAATGTATTGAAATTGGTTTTTATCTGCATTTAGTATTTGATATATTTTCATTTATTTACATTTTATTAGTTGTTAGGTTAACTAGTAAATTGACAAATCTGAAAATTAATCAGGGGTCTGTTCAGGGCAAATTTACTACCGTTTAGCGATACCTTCACAAATTTTACTTTAAGAACAGTAGTTTCACAAAATAACTTTAAAATGTTCTCATAATGTAGGGGTGCACAACCTTTTTGAGTGAAGGGCCACTTGCACCGCAGGTNAGTTAAATAACGGGATCGTCAAAATCACGAGGAAAAGTATAGAAATAATTAGGAAAAAATATATTTATGCTGAACTCAGAACGAATAAAGCGCGTCAAATGCATGATTTAAAATTTGCATGTCATAACAGAATAATTGGAATTTTTTATAATATGTGGGAACGCATAGCAATAACTACCGAGAAAAATTTTTGAAAAATAAGAAAGAATTGCAAAAAATCACTTAGATTGAAGATGAAATCGTCACAAATAAAGTGCACAAAAAGTGATTATTTAAATTTGCGATCTGAAACTCGCGTCATAATAAAAATTAGGAATTTTCAAAATCACGTAGAAAAGCGGAAATAACTGTTTAAAACAAATCATTTATATTTACGATAAATTCGGCTTCAAGGAAGCGCGTTAAACGTACATTTACTAAAGAATCTGTTAAAATTGATTGTGTCAAAACGTGATGACTTAAAAGTGCGATTAAAAATTGTTATTTTTTTTAAAAAATTTTTTATTGTGTTTAGAAGCTCTCGCGGGCCGCACTTCAGTAGTCGAAGGGCCGCATTTGGCCCGCGGGCCGCAGGTTGTGCGCCCCTATCATAATGAAAATAACTCTTAGAGCTAGTACTGTTAAATGCATTATTTTGTTAAATTCAGATTGAAATTTAACTATGCACAATAGGATTTTAAATTTGGATAAAATTTTCAGCCCTAAACTTTGCAATAGCAAAGTTGTTTTTGAATATATACGGAAAAATATATAGAAATTTACCCGTTAAATAATTTTTATTGTGACAGTTTTTGAAAATATTTTCTCACTTTACCTTATTTATGAGTTGATTTTTTAGTTTAATTTTCACAAATTATGTCTAAATTTTTACAATAAAAGTACCTCTTAAAAAAAACCTAGACAGACCCCTGTTATATTTATATTGGTGTGGTTAATCCAGTGGTCTCCCGAAGTGATTTTAGAAGGGCGGTCCCCTGTGCCTGCTCTCTGATGCCTATAAATGTGCCCTCTTTGTCCTGTTTGTAAAAATAAGCCGCCATCCTTTAAAATTAAAAACACTGCCTTTTTATTCATATTCCATTTTTAACAACAAAAAAATCCACTGTTTAAATAATAATTGTGCACTGGTAAAATTATATGTGTTGATAGAATTAATTTTGATTATTATTACAAACATTTACTTTGTTAGGATTATTCTCAACTTGTATTCCATTTTTAACAACAAAAAAATCTCTGTTTAAATAATAATTGCACGCTGGTAAAATTATCTGTGTTGATAAAATTAATTTTGATTATTATTACAAATATTTACTTTGTTATGATTATTCTCAACTAGTTAAATTTTTATAAGTATCTTTTTTCAGGGGGAGGGATATCAACTTAAAATGTTGATTTTCTTATAATTTTCAGATTAAATTAATATAAACATCTTTCAAGTTCTTTATACATTAATAATTTTTTTTTTTGTTGAAAAAAGTTAATACTGAGAGATTGTCTATTAGCATGCCTTTAATTATTTTTATAAGCTATAAATTTTTCTCTTAATCTGATATTGAGAGAGAATTGTTTTTTGAAATGCACTTAGAATAGTATAAGAACTTAGCATAGTATAAGAGGACTTAGAATATTATAAGAGGGCAATTTAAAAATAGTTGAGAATCAGATTCAGTTATTACACATTGTGATAAATTTTTACGGTGTTGAATGAGTGCCCTTTCAAAACTTATAATGCCCTTTTCTGAGAGGCAGCGCCCTGACCTTTTTTATTCCTAGGGAGAACTCTGGTTATTATTATCTGTTTCAGTATTTTGAGTGTTATTATTTGTTAAAATTTTTATGATTATTTATACTAATGGTATACTGTGTATAAAATGAGGTATTGAGAATTGAAGTAGTTCAAGTTTAAAAATATGTACTTAAGAATATATTTTATAAGTACTTTAAACTCACATGAAGACACGAAACTTAAGATAAACATCTTACATCTAGACCTTAATTATCCAAATCAGTTAGGACCAGACCTACTTACAATGAATAAGAAATAATTGTTTGTTTTTAAATTTATTTTCATCAATTAACACTGTAAATTGTGAATATTTTTGAATAATAGTGCTACATGCATAGTATTTAATTTTATTATAGCCATTTAATGACATGCATATTCACTTGCACTATAGCTCTAAATAGCAAAATGTTTTTTTTTAATTTTTTAATTATCATCCATTTGTACAAAACACCATCTAAATCTGAATCGCTTGCTGATTTAATTGATTTTCAAAGTTTATTTACTTTGTTTATATTCCTTTCTAAGGATTTCTACTAATTCCATTTGCACAATATTATATTATATTTTTATTGCACAGACAACATAACACCTTCGTTTTAACGAAAGTGAAAACCTTAATGGCCATACCAAAATACCTTAGTA